CGTAGTGTTTCCTATATATATATATATATATATATATATGTGACCCAGATAGAATTTGTGCTAATTGGACAACCACGAGTTAATTTCAATTTTAGGCTTTATTTTTTCTACAAAATCATTTTTACATGAAATTTGGTGCATGCATGCATCTAGAAAAGACACCCAAAAAAAGATCGATCGAAGCAATTTGAATGAAAATTTGACCAAAATACCCATGAATGATTCATGGGTATTTTGGTTAATTAATACCCCTGAATGTTTCAGAAGTATTTTGGTTAATTTTTCATTCAGATTACTTTTCTTCTTCTTTTTTTATATTATTTATTGAGTGTTTCCTTTCCAGATGCATACATGCCCCAAGTTTCATATTATAAGGATTTTTTTAAAAAAATTAAAATTAAAAAACGCAATGCAATGTAGTCTATCCAACAGCTGTAGGCATTGAATGTAAAAGTTTGCCTACCACCAGGTCTTGTTGTTTTCGGGCCATGTTTTGGGTATGGTCCTAAGAGCACTTGATCAGTAACTAAAAAGAAAAAAGTGCTTTTGAGTACATCTAACAATAGATTTAACATCCATCAAAACAAACTGGTGTACTACCTCCATTTCTGGATGTTAGGTGTCTATTTTTGGGTCTATGTTTTGGGGATGGTCCTTAAACAATCTAGATCAACAACTAAAAAGAATATATTTTTTAGTACATCTAATGGAAGATCTAATATCCACCAAAACAAACACCTTACACCAATTACACTCCTTTCAGAAAACATTTTTATAGGTTTTTCCAATTGTTTTTTAGTGGGAACATTCTCTAGGGACCAGAGGATGTGGAAGGAACAAATAGCCCTAAAGAAAGACACCTAACATCAAAAAATGGAGGTAGCTGAACTTGTAAAGTGAATGCCTATGGAGAGAGAGACTTCTGTAAATAGAAAGTAGTATATGTATGGTCTTTGAAGTCACTAATACTTTTTCTTCGATAGAGTCCGTGTTTTGGCCAGTATTTGTGGTGGCAACCTTGGCTGCTATTGTTGGGAGCCAGGCTGTTATTTCTGCAACATTCTCAATTGTTAAGCAATGTCATGCATTGGGTTGCTTCCCACGAGTCAAGGTGGTCCATACATCAAAGCGCATATATGGGCAGATCTACATCCCAGAGATAAACTGGATTCTTATGGTTCTTTGCTTGGCTATTACAATTGGTTTCCAAGATATAACAGTTATTGGACATGCATATGGTGAGCGATCTTTTTGGGGTTTTATTCATGATATTTCTCAGTTGATAGAAGTTGATTGTCTTGGAGAGTCGATCCTTTATTTTATGTTAACTTCTCAGTTAGTAGGATATTATTTTCTGCAGAATTGTTTCTCTTGTCCTTTCTTACAAGAAAATATTTTCTTTCCTTTCTCATTTTCCATAATACCACCTTCTAGTGAATTTTTTTGAACTTTATTCTAAAGACCAGTTTGTATTCTCTTATTAACTCTACTTGGCACCACGACCCTTTTCATAGTCACCACTTGGAGGCTGCCAGGTTGTTGTTTGGAATTAGTTGAACCTTCGTGCTGAGTATGATTGGTCCCAAATGAATAATGTTTCTAATCTCATATTTCAAATATCTATCTTCATGATATCTAGTCCTTGAAATGGGATGAAACTCTATATCATGGAGGGAATTTCTGAATATTAGTAATGCCATATTGCTATGTGATGCTGGAATATTTCTTCATTCATCAATAAAAGCATTTTGGAGTAAATTACCATATTTTATTTGGGGGTTAGACCAAAAAGCTGCATTTTCTTCTTGGCAGAGGTAAGGTTAGGCTCCTTTGGATAACTCTTGTTCTGAATATAATTTCTTCATTTCGGCTAACCAAACTGAGAAGCATGGGAATGGTTCAAGCATACAAGAGAAACTATCTAGATGCATTTGTTTGATGTACAAGTGCATGCAGCATAGATATAGAAGCATTATTCTTCTTTTATGCTAAACCAAGGATTGTGAATTTTTGTAGGAATTGCATGCATGACTGTGATGTTCATTACAACAGCGCTCATGGCCTTGGTGATCATATTTGTATGGCAGAGGAGCATTTTCTGGGCTTTCATCTTCCTTTTGTTCTTTGGATGTATTGAGTGCTTCTATCTATCTGCTTCAATCATAAAAGTGCCTCAGGGTGGCTGGGTCCCTCTTGTATTATCTGCGGTATTCATGGCTGTCATGTACATTTGGCATTATGGAACCCGGCGCAAATATCTCTTTGACGTGCAAAATAAGGTCATTCTCCCTTTTTTTTTTCATACTTTCCTTTCTTGCCTTTCCTATAACTAATACACACACAAACACATGCACGATTCAGTTGCAGAGTAAGTTGTCCTTTCTTCTGTTGCATTTCATACTTGGTTCAGAAACTGCATTATCTTGCAAGCTTGGACTTGGACACTTCAGATTTTGAATTTCTTCTTCTTTTTTCCCTCAACTCTTCTTCTTTTTATTCTTTAAATTCTTTCTCATCTTAATTTCATTCTAGGTCTCCATGAAATGGATCCTCACTCTAGGTCCGAGCCTCGGAATCGTCCGGGTGCCTGGGATTGGGCTCATCTACACGGAGCTAGTCACCGGAGTACCCGCCATATTCTCCCACTTTGTGACCAACCTTCCTGCCTTCCACCAGGTCCTTGTCTTTATCTGCGTAAAATCTGTCCCAGTTCCCTATGTCCCTGCCGAAGAGCGCTACCTTGTGGGCCGCATTGGCCCTAAGGCCTACCGCATGTACCGATGCATAGTACGGTACGGATATAAGGATGTCCCCAAAGATGATGACGTTTTCGAGAACCAGCTCATCCTCAGTATTGCAGAATTCATACAGATGGAAGCAGAGGAGACCCAGTCTGAGGGCCCTGCATCTAGCTCTGGCCTCCTTGATGGTCGGATGGCTGTCATTCGAGCCCCTGTTGGACCGGGCACAAGGCTCTTGATGTCGGAGGATGATGGCACTGATGAGGTCGCGGGTGAGGCGACGAGCACTATAAGGAGTAGCAAGTCCGTGACATTGAGGGGGCTCCAAGCTTTGTATGAGCAAGACTCTCCAAGCGTGAGTCGGAGGAGGAGGGTGAGGTTTGAATTGCCTGAGTGCCATAATTTGGACCCTAACGTGAGGGATGAGTTGTTAGAGTTGGTGGAAGCAAAGCACTCAGGGGTGGCATATATAATGGGGCACTCATATATCAAGGCAAGGAGGACCTCCTCGTTCATTAAGAAGTTTGCTATTGATGTGGCTTACTCTTTTCTTAGGAAGAATTGTAGAGGGCCGGCTGTTGCCCTTAACATCCCTCACATAAGCCTCATTGAGGTCGGAATGATCTATTATGTGTAGTAGGCCTATGCTCTTCTGTAATGGCTCGACTAGAAGAAACTTGGTTCTTCTGGTGGATAGATCAAGGTTCCAAACCAGTTCTCATCCCCAATTTTCCATAAACCAAAAGAGAGATACAGAAGAAAAAAGAGGAAAGGCTTTATATCAATTCAGGTTTTCTCTTAATGTCACCTCTCGGCTTTGCATCTTACCTACCTTGTTCCAAAGAGGTGGTTTTAATGGCTGGTCAGAGTTTTGCAGCTATCAATTGTGGACTGTTTATCCTCAGGTATACAGGCGAAATGGATAATATGCTGAGGCCAATGAGCTTATATTCCTGTTGACATGGCACACAAACCAAAATTCTTATATCTAACGAATTGCACTATAGTACCAAGAAATCCGTACTATATAAATTAATCTGCTTAATGACGATATGGATACATTGATGCTGGCATTTTGTTTTATGATTTAAGAACTTGCCATTAAAGTAAGTATATAAATACATGTACGTTTAAATCAGCATGCAGTTAAGACAAAAGGCATAGAGATAAATGTAACCATGTCTTACCGAGTACACTGCATGTAAATGGTGAGAGATTCGTATTGAGATCTTTGAAATTTCTCTTCTATTCTGTGCAAAGGCCCGATTGATTATTGACAAGTCAATTTGATCAACTGAATTTGCTAGACCTCATTTCTTGGGAATTAGGAGGTATAACATAACACCATTTATAGGAAAGCATCAGACCTTCTGCAAGTTTAGCAATGTATTTCCAAGTTTTTATCATTGATTGTCCTCATTAAAATGCACACATTTGTGTAACAGGGGAGTATGCATGTATGTGTGTGTATGTGCATGCGCATTTGGACCAGATTTTAGAAAAGAGAGGAAGAATAGATGTAATGGTTTAAAAATATAAAATATATTAAAAAGTTCATCCAACTTTATTTAGCTGGCTGAAGTAGTTAAAACCGGCTCGCTCGATAGGTCAATTATTTTGACCAGTTTTGTGCTAAATCCGGTCTTTACCTTGGATTAGACCTACCAGGGTACAGTTGTTGGGAATTTGACCAGTCAAACCACTAGTTCAGTCTGGTTTTAAGTTTCGCTCTGGAATGCTATACCTATATTACACACTGAGTCAGAAACCCTTTCAAATTGTATCACTTATACCATTCTCTCTCTCTGGGAAAGGTTAATCAGAATTCATGATGAAAGCTAAACATAGTCATTCATATTATTTAAGAGAACTCCTATAGTCATTCTATGGGCATTGCTTAGCTAGGGTGCTACCCCACCATAAAACAGTGCTAATTCACATTGCCCGTCAATTGGCGGTGGGCTGGCGGTCCAGGCAATGCATTCTGCTCAGTGGGTGTGGCACCCCACTTCACCATTACTCTGTATTCTTTATCTTACAAAGGCACAAAATATTGTAAAACACCTGCGCGCCCACAAATATTGATCCTCTTTTTTTTGGCTGATGTGCATCTTTGCATCAATTTTCATTTGATTTTTCATGAAAAAGCATCCCTTTTGATTTTCTGGTTTTATCACACACCAAAAGTTGCCCAAATGCAGACATGTTTTGCCACGGCATCCAAACACTCCCTAAACTTTTCTCCTGGCATAAAATATCCTTCCATTTTTCAATCATTTATCTACAAAAAATAAGATATGACATTGTAATGACATGAGGGTTGGCAGAAAATTAATTCAGAGTATTAAACGCATTTTGCACAATGCTACCTCTGACTCATACATTACTTTGATAATTGTCCTTGTCAAATTATCAAACCCACCGCTATCTAAACATGAATTACAATAGGGGGTGGAATATTAAAGGTAAGTTAATAACAATAATTTGTCTGAGATTTCGTCCATTATCAAAACAAGTATTAGTATATTCACACCTTCTTTACACCAAATCAAGCTTTAAACAAACCAATTTCAACCACCCCTAAGCCTCTCGGTAAACAACCAAAAAGAGAAGGCAACAACCTGCAAGGCAAAGAGAGAGAGAGAGCAAAAACACAAGGCAACAAATACACGAGAGCGAGAGAGAGTAAATCTCTTAATAGCAATATACTTTAAATAGGGAAGAGAGTAAATCTCTTAATAGCAATATACTTTTAATAGGGAATAGCAATATACTTTTAATGGGGCTATATTTGTGAAGAACCCAAGTCAAAAACATCAGAAAGGGACTGACACAAAGTGTCTGAAACCTGGGGCATGCACCCAAAAAGAAGAGCATTGTACTCTTCCTCTTCAATACCCCACAGGCTGCTACTTCCATGTTCCCCTATGCCCATAACGCCTGAACCATCTTCATCATAATCATCAAATCCACCATTGAAACTGAAACCATCCGTACTTGTACCATTCCATGCGCCATGCTCACTGCTGCATTCCCCTACATTGGCAGAAGCCACACAGTGAACACCCACTGCACCACTAGACTGATTGGTTTCACGGTTGAGAAAATTTGGTTTGCTTTTTTCATGGCTGGAAATACTGGGTCTCCTCCTTTCATGGCTAGAAGTGGTTGTTTTCTCAGAAAAAGTGCTGCTTTCATGGCTAAATTTGGTGGACTTCTCAAAGAAGTCAGTATTTTCAGGGCTAAAAGTGGTGGGTTTTTTAGAGGGATCACTTCTTTCATTGCTAAAAGTTATGGGGCCCTGAGAAGAATTACTTCTCTGATGGCTGAAAATTGCTGATTTCTCAGAGAAGTTGATATTTTCATGGCTAAAAGAGGTGGGTTTAGAAGAAAAGCCATCATGGACAATGCTCCCCAAATAACCAGAATCCTCTTTATTCCCCACTAAAGAAGCAAAACCACTGTATTCGGAGGCAAGCAGGCCCTGGCTCCACTTGGCACTATCCCATTGGGTATGACTAGAAAGGTGGGTCCCACCCTGAATTGGACCCTCCCAATGGCCGGACTCTATAAGGGATTCTCCACACGTGGTGGAACCCACCATGATAGATTGCTGATGTGGACTCATCCGTGAGTGTGTGGTCCCTGCTGACATGGCACGGCCCGACTGGGGAAATAAAAGCTGATGTGGATTGCTCGGGTTGGTTGGGCGGATGCCGGCCGGTGCTGATGTGGTGAGATCCGATTGGGCGAGAGTGTTGCTCAGGTTCAATAGCTGCAAGGGATATTGCGAGGCGTGTCCCAATTGGGCAAGCAAGTGCTGACATGGCATGGGCTCTGCGGAGGTGTCGATCGCGGACAGGGAGAGAGGGTGGGGCTGCGGAATGGCGGGGACATGAAGTGGTGGGGAGTGGTAGTTGAAGTTGGTGCGGGCGTCGGAGCCCTTGATGGAGAGGGCGGCGCGGTCGTAGGCGAGGGCCGCCTCCTCAGCAGTGTCGAATGTGCCGAGCCAATGGCGCTCTTTAGTCGAAGGGTCCCTGATCTCCGCAGCGTACCTGCCCCACGGCCGTCTCCGGACCCCCAAGAACTTGTTACTACTAGTGTTGCTTCCTGGCTCAGTGGGTGATCTTTTCCTGTTGTTGTTGTTGTTGTTGATGATGGTATTGTTGGGCCTCCAAGTGAAATCAGTTAAGAGAGAGGAGGAGGAGGGGGGAGATGGGTTCAGCTCCTGTGTGATTTTGAATGAGCCTGTGGCATGTTCGTCCATCCCTCCAACCATTGCATGTGTGTGTGTGTGTGTGTGAAAGAGAGGAGAAGGGGTTGGAGTGGGTGGGGGGATGTCGGGTCTGATATTGAACGAGTGAAAGGGAAGGTTGCTTCTATGTAGTGTGTGTGTTGTTGTGTGTGTGTGTGTGAGAGAGAGAGAGAGAGGTGAATCGAGAGTTGAGGGAGTGGGAAGGTCTATTTGGGGTGTGAGAGAATGCAGAGGATGAGAAGAGTTTGGAGAAGTGTGGTTTGAGAGTGAGAGTGGTAGGGGTAGGGGGAGGGGGAGGGTATATATGTAGGGATTGGGTGAGTGTGGATTGTTTGTGGTGGGATATAAAAGGACAGAGCATGGGATGGACAGGAGATGTGATTACCCTCTTTTGGCCCTACTTTTCCTTTTTTAAAGACAAGAGTATGAAGATGAAAATATTCATTAAATTACACAACTAGCTTGGGGAAACTCCTCTCTTTGCAACTTGAAGAATTCCCTCTTTACTTTTCCTAGTAAAGAAAAAACGGTTAGTTAAAAGTTCAAAAACCAAAAATTCCCATTACACTTCCAAATGAATGTAAGCATGCTACGTGGGTGAGATTATAATTCTAAATCTACATTAGCTTGAGATTAGTGTTAATTAGAAAACAACCATAACATCAATCAGCATTAGGCTTTCCAAAAGGAGTGGTTAAAGTGTCAATTATATTGGTCAGAAGTGAAGTTTGAACTTTGTTTTCTACTCAAATTCAAAGACAAACACATATAAAATCAAAAGAATTTTAAAGTAGAGGGAGAAGAGGTTGTCCCCATGTATGTTTAAAAGTTTATTTGGTGGAAGCATTGTCTTGAAATTTGGAGGCAATATTGGTAAGCAAGTGACCCACACATCAAGAGGGGCTCGAGAAATGGCCCCTTAGTCTTCACTCAACTTGGAAGTGGAGCTTCCCTAATTTTAAATGGAACCAAACTTTCAAAAGCTAATGACACCTAATGCCTTCATATCTCTAGTGAGTGTGTGTGAGAGAGAGAGAGGGTTGGCCCTGGCCTACTCCCTATAGGGTTGGAGGCCCGGCCATGCTCTGATTGGGCCAAAGAGGCCCTAGCTCCGACCTTGCCTAACCCGCTCAGGGCCAGGCTAGAAAAATGTTTAACAAAATTAAGGGAAAAGTAAGGCCGGGAAGAACTAGGGCGGTCCTGACCTTGGCCTGGCCCTCGGGCCACATTTTGTAGTTCAGGCCGACCGGATTGAGACGAGTTGCCTAGCCCATTCCCACCCTTAAGAGCGACGAGTCCATTTGTTTGAGACAAAAATCTAAAGAGTGCATTTCAAGTTCTTGATATTTGAGTCCAAATCTTTACCACTTCGGCGTTGGCTTTCCTAAATTTGAAGAGTAGGTTATATTTTGTCATGTAAATATAATGTCAAATCATGTTGGCGATAAGGCAACTAGTTTATTGTCAATGCATCACATAACAATGTTTTGGACTTGTATCCAACAAGAAACTATAAAACAAATCAAAGCGGGCTCCACTAGTCACCTTCATTTACAAAAAGTGCAATTTTTGTGCATGCGTGCATGTGCTCACCAAATTAGAGAGAGACAGATTTCCTGCAATTGAAATTATTATATACTATGAGCTCATCTATTTTTGGTGTACCTAACAATTGGTATTGGTCGTTAGATGTCAAATTGGATGGCTTAGGACGTGTCACAAAGTTTTAGATTTTTTTTTTTTACTTAGAGTCTAGTCAATTATACACTCACTACCATCTAATTTGAAATCAGATGGACCAAAGTGATTGTGATTTCTTTGTATTAAAAATAAATGATCTCTTTATATACTTTTTTTTAACAAACAAGTCTCTTTGTATACTTTCTCTTGTGTGGATGAGGGGGGAGAGAGGGATAGGGATGTCTCAAGTAGTATTATAAAACATAACTCAGGAATGGAACCGAGCCATGGGCCGGGTCAGTGTAACCTCA